CTTCCCTGAGAACAAAGGACAGCTGGAGGAAAGGTCTAATTGTCCGGATGGGGCAGTGTCGCCCCCTCGTGTCTGCATAAATCCATTATAAAGCAGGAGTCACCATCCCGTGTATGGTCTCGGGTTAGTGACCCTGAGTGAGAGAGACCGGGTTGGTAGTCCCGGCCCCTGGGTTAGTGACCCTGGGTGAAATCCAGGTGACTAATCCTGGCCCTAGGGTCTGAGTGACTCGGCCTTAGGAAAGCAAGTCTGATCGGCAGAAACCTGGCGCCCGAGGAGGAAAGGATCGAGCTCGTCACCCTGCGGCCTTTTGGGAGAATCATGAGAGTTTTTGAGGATCCTGAAAGTGGTGAGGGTGGTGCACACCAGAGTGAAAGAAGGACCGGTCCGAACGAGTGCGATCAGATGTGGTGCGTGTGCTTGGTGTTATCATTGATTGTTTTATTGTGTTTTGGTTTCGGTTTATATATTTTTTTGAGCTTCTCATTTTAAGTTTCCTTGTTCTAAAGTTCTCCTGCTCTCTCCGTTCCTCCTTTCTGCCACTACATCATTCCCCATGGGCACAGGTCAGGCAATTAAGAGCCATTAGGGCGCCCGCCGCTAGAAGACTCCCGTGACAGGATAAGGGGGTCACAGCCACAAATCCCAGATAAATTCACATTCCCTGCAGAAGAAAAACTGTGCAATGACAGGCACCCATTCACAAGCACATACAACAATCATCTTGTTTGAAGTGGCATCTTCATCCTTTGCCTTTGTCTGCCTCATATCCTTTTTCTTCTTCTTTTTCACTATGGGTCAGGCTCAGGCTACTCCTAAGAGTCCGATCCTTTCCCATTTCCCGGAGGTCAAGAAACAGGCCTTAAATATGAGCCTTGGCATCAAGAAGGGTAAGCTTGACACCTTTTGCTCAGTCGAGTGGCCTTCCTTTAGAGTAGGCTGGCCAACCCAGGGGTCTCTTTTCCTGGACCTTATCAGCAAAGTCAAAACCATTATTTCCCAACCAGACCCTGAGGGCCACCCTGACCAACTCCCCTATATCTTGGTCTGGGAAAATCTAGCCGAGAACCCTCCATCCTGGCTGAGGCCCTTTTTGGTGGAGAAACCTCATACTGACCCACTAAAGACCTCCGTCCTAGTTGCTCAGGAAAAATTAAAGCCCTCTGATCTCAGGGCCAGAAATCCTGTGCGCCCGAGTGTGCAGCCTGTCCTCCCTGATAGTTCTCCTCTCTACCCCCTTCTGCCGATTGAGCAGCCACCCCAGTATGCAGAGGAGAGGGGTGAAGCTCCCAGGAGGATAGAAAATGAGGCTGGGGAACCCAGTGGGAACCAGGCGGCTGCAGCTTCCCCAGACTCTTCAGCCGAGAGAAGCAGGAGGCCGGAAAGAGCTTCCCCACACTCCCCCGCCCTGGTCCCATGCTGGGGGCCAGATAGAACAGGAGGAATGCAGTTAAGGCCTCGGGGGGCCAGGGAACAAGAAGGGGAGGCTCCCTCCACCTCAGAAGGAGCAGTGCCGGTTCTGCCTGTGCGTGCCATCAGTACAGGCATCACTCAACAATATCAATACTGGCCCTTTTCATCTAGTGACCTCTATAATTAGAGGACTCAGAACCCTCCCTTCTCAGAGGACCCCAAGTGTCTTATAGATCTAGTGGAGTCCATTATGTTTACCCATCGTCCCACATGGGACAACTGCCAGCAATTGCTCCACACTCTCTTCATGATGGAAGAGCGAGAGCGTATCCTCAATGAGGCCAGGGAAAATGTCCTCAGAGAGAATGGAAGACCCACTACCCTCCAGCCCATCATCGATGAGGCGTTCCCACTTACGTGCCCGGATTGGGACTTCAGGACTGCAGAAGGTAGAGAGCGTCTCTGGGTCTACCGCCAGACTCTGATGACTGGTCTCTGGGCGGCCACCAGATGGCCCACTAACTTGGCTAAGGTAAAAACTATTGTTCAGAGGGAAATGGAAAGCCCAGCCACGTATCTGGAAAGGCTGTTTGACGCTTACAGGCAGTATACCCCCATAAACCCGGAAGCAGAGGAACATAGATCAGCTGTAGTCCTCTCATTCATCAACCAGGCAGCCCCCGATATCCGGAGAAAACTCCACAAGTGGGAGGACCTGGGGGAGATCTCTATTAGAGAACTGCTGCAGCAGGCAGAGAAGGTCTTCAATGCTAGGGAAACTCCGGAAGATAGAGAAGAAAGGCTGAGGAAAGAAAAATGGGTAATGTAGGAGAAAAATAAGAAGGAAGACAGAGAATTTCAGAAGAGGGAGAACAAGAAGCAGAGGGAGGAGCTGGCCAGGATATTCCTGGCCAGGGTGAAGGAGGGCCCTAGGCCACCTCGAGGAACAGGACCCCGTCAATCCTGACTAGGACAAGATCAATGCGCCCTGTGTAAGAAATATGGACATTGGAAGAGGGAGTGCTCCCAAAGGAGGGAACAAGGGAGAGGGAACCCTGTTAAGACCATGCACCTAGGAGAGGAGGATTGATGGGGATGGGGCTCAGCACCCCTCCCCGAGTCCTGGGAAATCCTGTGCATAGAGGGGACTCCCATTGGGTTCATGGTAGATACTGGAGCACAATATTCAGTTCTTAACCAGGCCTACGGTCCCCTGAACACAGGACGCACAAGTATAGTCCAGGGAGCGACAGGGTCCAAGAAATGTGCCTGGACCACTAGCAGAAAAGTGGACCTAGGAAGGCATCAGGTCTGTCACTCATTTCTGGTCGTACCTGAGAGCCCTGCACCATTGTTAAGTAGAGACTTACTAACCCAGGTTGGGGCGCGCATTCATTTTGAACCCAAAGGGATAAAAATCATGTACAAAGAAGGGCAGCCCCTACAACCGGCGCATGTATTAACTCTGTCCCTGGCCAACGAACATCATCTGTTTCAGGCGGATCAAGAAAAGGGGGGCCAGGGAGAAATAGACTCATAGTTACAGAGGTTCCCTTCCTCATGGGCCAAAACCGGAAGAATTAGTCTCGCTAAACACCTATCCCCAGTCGTTGTTCAACTCAGAGCCGCAGCTCTACCCATCTGGGTCTGGCAATATCCAATGCTGGAAGAGGCTAGGAAAGGGATAGCACCCCATATCCATAGACTGTTGGAGACAGAAATCCTTAAAATCTGCCAATCTGCATGGAATACACTCCTGCTTCCAGTGAGGAAGCCTGGCAGTAGAGATTACAGACCAGTGCAGGACTTGCGGAAAGTCAATGAGAGGGTAGAAGACATCCATTCTACAGTGCCAAACCCTTACACCCTACTCAGCCACCTGCCACCGACTCTGGACCTGAAAGACGCCTTCTTTAGTATCCCATTCTCTGAAGTTAGTCAGCCTTTGTTTGCCTTTGAGTGGCAAGAGACGGGGGGGGGTGGTAAGAAAAGGGCAGCTTACCTGGACTAAACTACCACAGGGCTTCAAGAACTCTCCCACCTTATTCAATGAAGCCTTAAGCCAGGACCTGGAGCCCTTTCGCAGGAGCCACCCCCGTGTGACACTGCTGCAGTATGTAGATGACCTGTTGCTGGCCACGGAAACCCGTGAAGAGTGCAAAGAAGCCACAGGGAACTTGCTGGCTGAACTAGGCGAACTGGGATATTGAGCCAGCGCCAAGTAAGCCCACATCTGTCAGAGGTCAGTAGTCTACTTGGAGTACAAAATATCTAATGGGGCCACGTGGCTAACACAGGCTATGAAACAAACTATACTGACTATCCCTGTCCCTTCCTCACCCCGGGGAGTGAGAGAATTTCTTGGCTCAGCCAGGTTTTGCAGGCTATAGATTCCAAGGTATGCAGAAATAGCCCAACCGCTATATGAAGCGACCAAAGAAGGGCCGGGCTGGCAATAGACTCAGGAACAACAAGAGGCTTTTGACAGACTAAAAGAAGCTCTCCTCCGGGCCCCTGCCCTATCTCTGCCAGACCCAGAAAAACCCTTTATCCTGTTTATAGATGAAAAGAAGGGAGTGGCTAAAGGAGTCCTAGGTCAGCAGCTGGGCCCGTGGAAGAGACCTGTGGCCTATTTGAGCAAGCGGCTAGACCCAGTGGCCTCCAGGTGGCCACCTTGTCTGCGTATCCTAGCAGCTATTGCTCTACTGGTAAAGGAGGCAGACAAGCTGACTTTTGGCCAGAACCTGAGAATAACAGCCCCACATACCATAGAGGAGATCCTCAAGCATCCTCCAGGAAAATAGATGACAAACACAAGACTCACCCACTACCAAGGGCTCCTACTAGATTTTCCATGAATTGCCTTCTCTGACCTGGTAACCCTAAATCCTGCCACCCTTCTGCCGGACCCAGATCTGATGATCCCCATCCATGACTGTAGAGACATCCTTTCTGAAATTATCCAGGTGCGAGCAGACCTGAAAGACACACCATTACCAAACTGTGAGCTAAATTGGTATACGGATGGGAGCAGCTTTGTGCAAGAGGGGGTCAAGAGAGCAGGGGCAGCAGTAGTAACCCACGAAAGAGAAGTTGTCTGGAGCGCAGCCCTGCCGCCTGGCACTTCAGCACAGAAAGCAGAACTTATTGCTCTCACTGAGACCCTGGAAAGAGCAGAAGGCAAGCGGGCCAACATTTACACAGATAAGCAGATTTGACTTTGGCACTGTCCATGTCCACGGTGCCATCTACCGAGAAAGAGGAATCCATTCCATGGAAGGGAAGAGACTGAGGAATCTGCAAGAAGTCCAAAGACTACTAGCTGCTGTCGAAAAACCCAAAGTGGTAGCAGTTATACATGTACCGGGCCACCAATCAAAGAAGACACCTGAGGCCATCGGCAACAGCCATGCTGATGCGGAAGCTAAGAGGGCAGCCCTCTCAGACTCCCTTGTACTTGCAGCCCTCGAAATACCCATACCTGAACTGCCCGCCTTGCCACCCAAAACTGAGTATTCCCCCCAGGATCTTGAGTAGATTAAGAAACAAGTCTCGGAGAAAGTGTTTGAGGAGGGAAATTAGAGTAGGGACCAAGAAGGTAGGTTGATCCTGCCAGAAGCATTGGGGCAGTACATGCTTGCTATCTGCATAAGTCCACTCATCTAGGCTGGAAAAAGCTGCTCAGCCTTTTCCAGTCTGCGCAGTTAGTGTTTCCCCACCAGAATGAGGCAGCTCGTCAGATCACGAAAGAATGCAGTAGCTGTGCAAGGCTAAGACCAGCCCCAAGAGGGCTGCACCCAGCAGGTACCTGGGAAAGGGGGAGGGCTCCAGGGAGGAATTGGGAAATAGACTTTACCGAAATAAAACCAGGGAAGTATGGATACAAGTATTTGCTGGTTATGGTAGATACTTTCTCTGGGTGGGTGGAGGCCTTTCCAACCCAGCATGAGACTAGCCAAGTAGTAGCAAAAAAATTAATTGAGGAAATCATCCCCAGATATGAGGTCCCTGAAGCAATAGGTTCCGATAATGGCCCGGCTTTCGTTAGCAAAATCCTGCAAGGACTAGCCGTAGCTTTGGGAGTAGATTAGAAGTTACATTGTGCTTATAACCCACAAAGCTCTGGGCAGGTAGAAAAAATGAATCGGACCCTGAAAGAGACACTTTCTAAATTAGTATTGGAGACTGGCGGGGACTGGGTGACCCTCCTTCCCTTAGCCATCTTCCGCGCTTGGAACTCCCCCTATGTACATAGTTTAACTCCATTTGAGATAATGTACAGGGCCCCTCCACCCATAACCCAGCGAGTGCAGCTTCCCGGTGCAGAGGACCCATCCCCTATTTGAATGTGTTGCAAGCTCTTGCTAAAGTGCAGCAAGAAATCTGGCCCCTGATCAGAGCATATTATGAAAGCGGGAAAATTCCGAGCCCAGAACATGGCATAGTCCCAGAAGATATGGTATAAGTCAAAAGACACCAAGTGAGGACTCTCGAGCCCAGGTGGAAAAGACCTTACGTTGTATTGTTTACCACCCCCACTACTCTCAAGGTTGATGGTATCACTCCATGGGTGCACCACACCCACGTTCGAATCCTACCTCATAACGATCCAAGGAACCAAAAAGAAGAGTAGAAGGTGCAGCAGCATCCTGTCAATCCCCTAAAACTACACTTAAACCAAAGATGAAAGAGATCCTGCTAATAAGCTCCTTAGTATAGATCTTCATGGGAGCCACATCTGTAGAGATCAAATGCACCAACCCCCATCAACCAAAGAACCTGACCTGGATGCTGATTGATAGCAACAATAGGGAAGTCATCAACTCCACACAACACAGTGCGCCAATCGGAACCTGGTAGCCTGACCTGTATTTCTGCTTTCAGCAGATCAACCCCGTTTACCGATCCATCCCTCTAAATTTGGCTCGCTCCCATGAGTCTTATGCCTGCCCAGGAACAAGTAAAGGAAGGCACTGTGTGGGGGGGGGGGGGGCATGACTTCTTTTGTGCCAGCTGGGACTGTGTAACCTCGAACGATGGAGATTAGAGATAGTTACAAAAATCGATTCTGTCAAATTTACTTATGTCAACAAAGGCATCCCTCGTCACCAGCCTATGACCCTTTACAAAACCAAGGCTTGTGACAAAATGGACCAAGATTAGGTAAGAGTTCAATTCACCGAGACGAGCATAAACACTGAAGTATCGTGCTAGATAAATGGACTAGCATGGGGAATAGTGTATTATAAATGTGGGGGGCATGCCGGCTCGACCCTCATCATTAAATTAACCGTGTCAACTCCCACCACCGCCATAAGTCCCAACCCAGTTATAAATCCCCTGAAACCTTCAATCCAGGACAAAGGCTTGAGCAAAAAGGATGAGAAAATGCTGACCAGAACGCTTGCTCCAGAGCCCACAAGAGGACCGGGTCCATCGACCTCTGGGTTATAGGCCCAGCACACTCCCTCCGGGTTAGATAATCCCATGTGAGAAATGGTGCAAGCAGTAGTAGAGACTCTTAACCACACCACTTCCTCCCTCACAGATCCCTGTTGGCTATGCTACCCAGGTTCACCCTCCTTCTATGAAGCAATCGAGATAAATAGCTCCTACACTATCAACAACTCCCATCCCACTTACTGGGACGAGAGACCGAGGGGACTTACAATCGCTCAAATCTCAGTCGTTAGTACGTGTGCAGGCACAGTCCGGACGACCCAGAGCCAGTTATGCTCCTCCTATAATAACACTATGTAAGAGCAAGGAAAGTAGATTATACTCTCCTCGGGCTGGTGGCTCTGCTCAAAGACAGGCCGCACTTAGGCCCTATCCACCTCTGTGTTCAATGCTAACAGTGACTTTTGTGTGCTGGTGGCCATTCTACCTCGCCTAATGTATCATTCTCATGAATCTCTCCTTTCTTATTGGGAAGAAAGGCTGAGCCCCCACCAGAGCAAGAGGGACGTTGTTACCGCCCTGACCATTAGGACCCTCTTCTCCCTAGAGATAGCAGGGGCAGGCACTGGGGTCGCAGCCCTTGTGATGCGGGAAAAAGGGCTCACAGCCCTGAGGCTGGCAGTCGACAGAGACCTAGAACAGTCAATATCAGACCTGGAGCAATCCCTCACCTCCTTGTCAGAGGTGGTCCTACAGAACCGAAGAGGCCTGGACCTCTTGTTCTTAAAAAAAAGGTGGGCTATGCGCAGCCCTAAAAGAAGATTGCTGGTTCTATGTAGATAAGACAGGTGCAGTCAGAGATTCCTTAGCCAAACTAAAAAAAGATCTTGACAGGTGGTGTAAAGAATATGAAAGCAGCAGCAGCGAAGGCTAGTTTGAGTCTTGGTTCAAGCACAAGCCATGGTTTGCTACCCTCCTCTCGGCCGTTGCAGGGCCACTGGTCATCCTGCTGTTTTTGCTTACCATCGGCCCATGTATAATAAACAGGCTGCTTAAGTTTGTGCAAGAGAAGTTTGACACCTTCCAACTCCTGGTCCTTCACCAGAAATATCAGGCCCTAGACACTGCTGCAGATGATTCCTTAGTCTGATCAAGAAAAGGGAGGAAATGGAGTGCAGAGAGCATCAAGTCAGGAAAAAGAACTAATGACACTTAACCTGACTGCCTAGAGCTAGAGCCACCCAGTCTTTTCTTGTGTAAATTACCCGAAGCTTCTGAGAAATGTGCCTACCCTAAGTTAGATAACTAGAAGTGGGCAACAGCCAGGGAACGCCTGGGGATGTAACCGGTGATAAGTCACATAGACATGCTTGAGTAAGCAAGAGATAACAATTGAAGCGGGCAGGCAACTGGCGCATTCCCTAAAAAGGTTACAATGTTTCCCATTAGTTACAATATAGAGTGTGTTTTAAACCTATTAGTTGTAGAACTGCACGGGCTTTGATGTAACTGCTGTGAAGATCCTATATAATCAATACCCAAAGTTGCTTCGGGGTCAGCAGCTCAGACTCGGCCTGCATGTCAGGAGAGGTTCTGTCGACCCCAGCTTGCTGGCTGAATAAAGACTTTGCTTAGATTTTCATCTCCGTGTCTGTGTATCTTGTTCTCTGAGAAACCCCAGAGTCCTAGACCCTAACAGGAGCTCATGACGGGGAGATCATGCAAGAAAAACAACTCTGAGGGGGGACATAAGATAAAACCACTCCTTCCCAACAGGCAATTATCTCTGAATTTCCCCCCTCCAAATAGATCACTAAACTGACAGAAATTTTAATAGAGTAAAAAAAATGATTGCTCCTTTGGACATCTCCTTCCTCTGCATGGCGTTTCATCTCCTCAGATGGTCTCACAGCCGCTGACCACTAGTACGGGCTCTCCCCTGCATTAAAATCATATTTCAGCTCAGAAACAACTTTGTTCCTCAACACTTCTCTAAACATATTTTTTAAATGAAATGTATTTTAAAACATTTTTATGGTATAGTATTCTATGAAATCCTTTGAATTAGTAATGATCACTAAATTAATATCACAGTTGGAATATTTAATGGTGTATTTCTATGAATCTTTTGAAAAACTAGTGCTAACCAAATAAATACCATACTAAGACAAATTTAGTCATATTGTATCTACATTTTCCTTTCTATCAGTTTCAATTATATATAATGTGTTTATAAATTTGAATATACACATTTATATTTAGGATCTTATAAACATTTATATTTATAATTTTATGTTATTTAACCAAATTCAGATAAACAATATTCAATAAGAAGCTCAATTAAATGGATTATATGCTTTACTTACAGAAGAAAGTTAATTTGTGGTAATACAATTAACATATGCATGTGAGAGACACATTCATGAAAAAACAATTTATAAGCACTCCTGCAAATATACACACACAAAGACAGTATTTACCTAGATAAAACATTAAAGAATTGTACCCTCCAAGATTCTGATCATAATTATACTTCCCATGACCTCCACACACCTTTATTTAGGTCTTGCCTTTGGAAAGAGGAAAAGGAAGAAAATCAGATTGGTCTGTGTGTGTGGACTGAGATGGTAGGGGGTAGTTTGAAAGTGAAAGAAGAGGGGAGGAAAAAAAGCATACCATGTTGATTTAAATGAAAAAGGAGAGATTACAAAATCAGCCAGATAGTTGGCAATAAAAATTGAAAAAGTTAAAAAAGACATGCCCATACCCCAAAGTGAACAGTGTCAAATTAAATATTTTAGTACTTCCCCTTTAATGTATTCAATAATGATTTTTTTAATCAATGCTCTCTTATGAATATTAACTGAGTACTCTATATGTACTGGGCACCCTCCAAGCTGGTGGGGATAGGTATCAAAAAAACAGACAAAGGTATCTCCCTGAAGGAGCTTACATTCTATTTGGAAGAAGAAAATGAACAAATGAATGGATAAATATATAACATGGCAGGCAGTGATAAGTATTAATGAAACTAAGTAGTCTGAACAATATAATGATATGGTAAAAGAGACCAGAAAAAGGCCTCTCTGATAATGACCCCATTAGCTGAGTTCTAAAGAGGCAAAGGCATCAACCATCTAGTTACCTGACATGCAGCGAACACACAAGCTTGAGCAGGACACTGTGGCTGGAGGGAAGGGACTGAGAAAAGCAAAGGTTAAAGGTGATATTGGGGAGATTGCATTTGACCAGGTTGCGTAGAATCTTGTAGAGATTTATTGCACAGTCTTGAAATTTTATTCTCCTTTAAGTGGAAAGACATTGGAATGTTTTTGGTAGAAGAGTCAGGCCTGATTTGCATTTTATTAAAGTTGAGCTGATGTACTAAATAGAATAGACTTGATACAAGTAGAGATTACTTGAACACTTAGGTTGATGATGTAGTCTGGGAATAGAGTTGATGGCAGGAGGTTGATAGCAAGTTTGTTTTCTGATTAATTTTTTCTGAGAGTCTGTGAAAAAAAGTCTATGGAAAAAAAAAGTCAAAGAGGTCAACTGTGAGACAGAGGGCCCCTGAGATGGAGAAGACTGTCTGAAGCAGACATCTGGGAGAAAGAGTGGGAGCCCAGTCTGGGACATAGGAAATTTGCAATGCTTATCAT